CTTTGTTTTCTCTTTGCTTATCTGTTTTTTTGTTCTTCTGTCTTCCATTTTTGCTTTCTCTTGGGTTAAATGCATCCTTTAAAAATTTCATTTTACTTACCGTAATGATCTCCAGTTCTGTCCATGTTGCTGCAGATGAGAGGATTTCATCCTTTTCTATGGCTGAATAATCTTCAGTTGTCAGAGGCTGAGAAGGGTACCGGGATAGGAGGGGATGAAGTGAGATTGGTTAATGGGTACAAAAATACAGTTATATAGAAGAAATAAGACCTAATGTACAATTCAGCAGGTTGATAGTAAACAGTAATCTACTGTATATTTCAGAATAGCTAGAAGATAATAATTTAGATGTTCCCAACATAAAGAAAAGATAAATGTTTAAAGTGGTGGGCATCCCAATTACCTTGATTTGATAATTATAAATTATATATGATTGTATCAAAATGTCACATGTACTCCCCAAATAGGTCCATCTGTTATATATTAATAAATTAAAAAAAATTATCGTAACATTTCTTTGGGGTCTTTAACTGTTTCTTTTTGCACTATTTTATTTCTTAGAGGTGATTTTGGAGTCAAAGTCCACATCCTTTCTATTGTACTAGCTTATGGAAAATGTGAGCACTTGTAGTCTTTCATGCTACAGTTGTCATATTACCGTATTTACATGTTATAAGCCCTACAATACAGGGTTTTAACCTGTGCTTTAAGCAGTCTCATGTATATTATGGAAGTAAAAAGGGAAAAATAGTGTTTTATATTTATCCAGCTATATATTAATATGATATATGCAGTTCTTTTTTCTTTTCTGGACACTCAGCTTTCCGCTTGTGGTATCACTTTCCTTTAGCTGCAGAATTTTCTTTAGCCCAGGGATTAGCAAACTTTGGAAGCCTATGGGCCAAATGTGGTCCACCTGTTTTTATAAATAAAGCTTTATTGGAACACTGCTTTGCTCATTTATGTTTTTTAATGACTGCTTTTGCACCGTAATAGTAGAATTGTGCAGTTGTGACAGACTGCAAAGCCTAAAATATTTACTCTTCAGCCTTTCACAGAAAATGTTAGCCAATCCCTGCTTTTGGATATCTTCCAGCGTATGTCTGCTGGTGACTGATTATCTCAGTTTTATTATAAAAAATGATTTTATTTTACCTTTATTCTGGAAGGATATTTTTGCTGGATATAATTGTTTTTTTTTTTTTTTCCTTTCAGTACTTTCAAGATATCATTCCACTTTCTTCTGACCTTTCTCCTTTATTTTTCTCTCTCTTTTTTTAATGCTCTCTCTCAGCAGAATTATCTCCATAATTTCTGATGAGAAGTCACCTTTCCTTTGTATTTTTGTTCCCTGTATATAATGTGTTATCTTTTTCTGGTTGCTATGGAAATTTTACTGTATTTGGTTTTGTGAAGATTGACTGTGATGTGTCTGGATTTAGTTTTATTTGTATCTACCTTTCCTAGTATTTACTGAACTTACAGATTTGTAGAGTTGTATCTTTTGCTAAAGATGGAAAATTTTGGCCATTATATTTTCAGGTATACATTTACACCTTTTTAATTGTCCTTGCCTTCTGGCATTCTAATTCCACTTACGTTAGACCTTTTGATATTGCACTGCAAGTCACCGAGCCTTTGTTCACTTTGTTTGTGGGAGGGAATAAACAGTATTTTTTTCTATCTATCTCTGAAATTGAATAATTTCTACTGTTGTGTCTTCATGTTCACTGACTCCTTTGTCATCTCCAGTCTACTTTTAGGCTCATTTGTAAATTTTAAAATTTCAAATCATCTATATTTTTATTTCTAGGATTTCCATTTGGGAATTTAGTGTCTGTGTCTCCACTGAACTTTCTTTTTTTGCTTTTTTATTGGTACCGTTTTTTTCTTTGGTCATAGTCGTAATGTTTACTTTAAATCTTTTTCTGCAAACTCCAATATCTAATTCATCTCAGGGTTGGTCTTTCTCTGACTTTTCTCTTGAGTGTTGGTCACATTTTCCTGTTTCTTCATATGCTTATTAATTTGGGAGTATATTCTGAATGTTGTAAATCATACATCCTAGAACTGGTTTCTGTTATGTTTCTCCATAGGACATTGAGGTTCTTTAGCAGGCAGTTAACTTGGCTGGGCTCCAACTCCAAACTCTCTCTTCCTGTGGTGAGAAGCAGCTTAAATCTTTTTTCAGTTCTTTTAGATGTAGCTGGGCTGCTGGGAGTCTGTCCTTGCATTGCATAGGTCCCTGGTCAGCTAGAGATTTGGGCAGAGTTCATATGCAGAATTTGGGTCTCCTTTATGTTTCTCTCTGATTCCTCCTCTCCCTTTCTAGCTGCTATCGTCACTCTGAACTGTCCTCTGTCTCCTTAGGCAATTGAGGCTGTGGTTTCCGTCTGAGTTTTGCCTGCATTTTTCTGAGTGGAGCCTATCTTCAGGAGGAGAGCCATATATAAAACTAGAAATTTTCCTAGTGCCATTCCTTTCTTTTTTTCGTATCTAGACTCCATTCTAGTTTCTGCTACCTTTTGTTCCTTCAGGTAATCTTTTATATTTCATCCAGATTTTATAGTTGGTTTCTATGGAAGGATTGATCCGATAGAAGCCACTTTACCATTCCTGGAAATGGAGTCTCTGGAGTATATTTAAAAATTGAACCAGTAAATATACACTTTGTTCAGAATGTTTTACATGAAAAGATAAAACAGTAACATGATAGAAATTCAGAAGTAACCTGATGAAAATATCACAGAATCGTAGTTTTGTTTTTCTGACTGAAGATAACAGTTCAAACTGAACTGTCCTCTCTCTCTGAAATGAATACTTTCTACTTTAATAGCTGGAAGCTTTGTTAACTTCAATAGTCTTGAAGTTTACCAGGGTCACTTTGGTTCTTCTGTTTGTGAATTATAAACTCAGAATTCTATAGGCAACAAAAATATTCTTTAAACTTTTTGTTGGCTTGACAATGCTATGCCTTTCCTTGGGCTTGGTGTTCACTGGACGTCTTGTGTCTGAAAACTTCTCTGACATTGGATTTGGGAAACTTTCAACCATTATTTCTTCAAATAAAATATCAGCCCCATTCTCTTCCACCTCTCCTTTTGGTATCCCAGTTGCTCATGTGTTGGATCATTTGATAATATGTAACAGATTACTGAGTCTCTATTCATTTGTTAAAAAAAAAATTTTATCTCTTCATTCTTCTCCTTGGATAATTTTAACTTATTTTCAAGTTCACTTACTCTTTTTCTGTTTTATCTCCACTTGGTTCTTAAGTCCGTCAGCTGATTTTTTTATTTCAGAAATTGTAGTTTTACTTCTAGGATTTCTGTTTCTTTTTAAATAATTTATACCTTTTTTGTTTGAAATTTTTCATGTATTGAAAGCATTTTATTTCATTGAGGATTTTTATAATAATTGCTTTGAAGTCTTTGTTAGTTCTAGTATCTGGTTCATTCTGGAGCTGTATTCAGACAGGATTTGGGTCTCCTTTATTGCTCTTTGTTTTCTGGGGCTCCCCCCAGCCTTACCCCTCAGCGTTCATGTTTTTCCAGCTTCACTTTTCTGGTTCCCCAGGCCAGAAGGACTATTTTTGGCTTTTCTGTGGCTTCTCTGCCACTGTACCTTAGCTTCAGGATAAAAATTGCAGTGACAGGAATGTACTTGTATTGTTCCTTGACTTCCCTACTGTATGTGAGTATGAACTTCATACCAGAGTCTGTCTGCTTCTATTTACTGTTTTTTTTAAGTAGTTGCCTTTTCAGTCTGTTCAGGTTTTATAGTTGTTTTCTGCCAGAGAGAGGTTGGTTCAGTAGGTTCTTAAATCCATCATACCTGAGTGGACGTTCATGTTTTAGTTTTGAAGTAATTTTAAAAGCAAATTAATTTAGTTACACTGTTGCTGTTACTCTACTCATCTATTCATAATAAGGAGGATTGCAAGTAATTTCTCGTATCTATAGATGTAAGCACTGAGGAGGAATATTAGGTTCACAAATATTTTATTATTAAATATCAACTCTGAGCCGAGCACTTGTGATAGAAAGAAAAATAAGGCAAACTACTCTCAGGGTACTTAAAATCTGGTAGAAACATAAAGGGAAGACTGGTGGGCATTGGTTTCACTGACTTCCGCATGCTAAGCTAAATCACTTTGTGCATTTGTTCAGCCTCATTATTAGGGATAGAACTTACTTGTAAAAAGAAAAATATTCAAATTTTGTTACAATTGGAGTTGTTACTGTTTTTTTTTTTGTTGTTTTGTTTTTTAATTTGACAGGCTTTTTAAACCAGCTTGGTGAAAGTAACTTTTTTGAAAACAGAGGTCTGTCTTGTTGCTTCTTGTTCCAAGAGTTTAGCCTAGTCCTTATTTAGAAACATTGCTTAATTCCATGACAGCTTATTGTTACAAATTTGTGGATTCTTTCGCTGTTTTAAGTACTCTTAAAAATAGAAAATCCTAGAAGAGAACTCAGGAATTTGCCTGAATGTTGCAAAACTTTTCTGATAATTGTTCAAACAAGGGAGTTTTAAAAATTGTTGTCCCTTGTGCACTTACAGTTTTATTACAGACGTGGGAAAATGGTGACAGACCGGGAACTGGAGAACTTGGCTTGACTGCGAACTTGAAGAAACATTCTTTCTTAGTATCCTGTGTGCTCTAGGTGGGCAACAAACGAGAGCTCACAGCCAGAGCAAGGCCATGAGAAAGGATTCTGGTGGATTTCATTGTAAACGTGTTCAGTGTTGTAGGGCTCATCTGGGTCAATAATTAAAGATGTTTAGTAATCCAGGAAATACAAAAGTGATCAGAAGTAGGCTTCTGATATGGGACAGACACTCAGGAGCGAAGTAAGGATTTGAGATAGAGTCATCCACTTAAAGGTGATCGTTAAACTTGAGAATAGGAGGAGGAGAGAGACTATAAAAGAATGTGCAGAGGTCTGTGAACATCACATGACAAATTATATAGTTTCTCACTATCACTTTGTCTAACCCAGAACTTTTTAGAAAAATCAACTGAAAGAGAAACTCGCCAAGAATATGCCCTGGCTATGATTCAGTGCAAAGTTCTGAAACAGTTGGAGAACTTGGAGCAGCAGAAGTACGATGATGAAGATATCAGCGAAGATATCAAATTTCTTTTGGAAAAACTTGGAGAGAGTGTCCAGGACCTTAGGTGTGTTATTCTTTTTAATTCTCATGTGCTGGATCTGTTGGACTTTGTTCGACTTGCATAGCATTTTAAGAAAACCTGAATTTGTTGTCACCTATACAAATCAAGAGAGTTCACTAAAATACATTAATGTTTCCTGTGAAGACATTATTCTGACATGGCAACAGTGGGACAGAACTGTGTGTTCTCTCTTCTGATTTGGGGAGATTCCCACTGTTTCCTGCTGTCTAAACTGACCAGCTTTACTCCCTCAGGATGTGACTCCACCCTGGAGCTCCTCAAGAGTCTTCTCTTAGAGTCTTTTTAAGCAACAACAGTAGTTTGTTAATTAGTGGAGGAGGTTTGCCTGTATATGGAGAAAGTATTTGTTTTCCTGCTTTTTGAAGGACTTTTGTCTCATTTTTTAATATTAAAAGTAATGTAAATAATGTATATACAGGGAAAGAATTAGCCAGTATGGAAGGAACTGCATGCCACTCCCACCATCTTCACTGCCTTGCCTCACTCCCCCTCGGGTCTCTTGTGTTGGCTTCTAAAAAGCCTTTTAGCCCTTCTCTGCCTGCCCCCTACAACCCACAAATGGGGCTCTGCATATTCTTTTGGATCTTGTTCTTTTTCTGTTTCATACATAATATCTTGATGATCTTTTCCATTAACACTCGTATTCTTTGTTTTTAAAATACCATTGGCACGGTTTTTAAAGGGTTACTCTCTGAATATAGGTCCTTGTCTTGGGTGGACTGGGGTTTGGAGCCAGGCTGATTCTTGGAATTGTTTGGCTACTTTTTCCATGTGTGACCTTGCACAAGCTTCTTGAGTTTTTCAAGTCTGTTTTTCTTTTGGTAAAACAGTAATAAAAATGTTAACCTTGCAGGATTTATTGTGAGGTTCCGTCTGCTCTGCAAACGCCTTCAGCATAGTATGTGCTCCAGAAATGTATTTACTAGATGATTCGTGTGCAGCCATAATCCCAAGGCCCAAAGATTTCCCAGAGGTGGGAGGTGTTATCTGTATCAGTGGTTTGTAATGGATCTTGTGGAGGAAGAAAAATGATTTTTATTATTCTAGAATTTCAAATATTTCAAATATGGATATGTTGATTATAATAGGCAGGCCAGGAATAGGCTTCACAGCTATACATTCTGTTACTATGTTTATTAAAAACTGATGACTGGTTCTCTGTAATAATCATTTAAGGCCTGTTTTTGTAAAAAATAAGATTAGTGATAGCTTTCTAAATGATTTAATCCATTTTAGCTAATTATTACTGATTTTTTACCTTGAATTTGGTAATTTGAAAAATACTGTTTACATAAAGCTAATAGGGTGATGGGCGCAGCTAAAAGAGGCTGGTCTCTGTTTTTGCTATTATAGGATTAGGATACAAATATTAAAAATACTAGTTTACTTCTTGTACTAACTGGCCCTACATTAAAGTGTTTTACTGCTTTATTTAAATGGTACCCTCTGATCAATTTATCTAGTACATCTTGGTTATATTGAATTACTATTAGTATTTGAATGGTTACATCTTTTTAAAATTTTTACTTGAGAGAAAGTCCAAGTATGTTCTGACAGTGTGTTTGTCTACTGGCTAACCACATTAAAAATTTTCATACTGTAAAGCTTGGAGTAATCAAGTTACTCTCCAGTGAATGGTTTTTAAATTAAGGTGAATTGCAGTTTGTTATATGTACAGAGGCTTTTGTCTTTAGTCCGTAATGGATTAATTCAATTATTTCTGTCTATACTCTTTGTCATCACATTGTAAAATATTGTGCCAATACGTGTGATTTTGTTTTTGTGATGTATTATAGTTTATGATATTTATAGTATAATGGAGTTTATTATGTTAAAGTACTGTGCTTTTACGTAACATATTATTTTGCCTATTGGTCTGGGAAATACAGTATTTCAAGTGTCATGGTAGAAATTCTGATAGATCTATCAATTTTTTTCTTAATACACATTCATGTATATATTGGAGTAAGGATTTTGAAAGCAAGTGTTGATTTTTATGTCTCATACCCAGCATTCAAATTTGACAGGAGGGTTGGACCTTACTACACTGAATAACATTTCACATGATTTATTAAAGATTATTTAAATTGTTTAAAGTTCGTTTAGTGGTAGTTTGTTAATGTACAAAGGATGGTCAGTCTTTGTAATTAAATAATAAGTGAAGACATTTTATTTTGCTTAATTTTGGAGTAACTGTCAGATTCTTATAAACCTTGAATTCTTTAAACATTTTTTAGTTCATTTGATGAATACAGTTCAGAACTTAAATCTGGAAGGCTGGAATGGAGTCCTGTGCACAAATCTGAGAAATTTTGGAGAGAGAATGCCGTGAGGTTAAATGAGAAGAACTATGAACTCTTGAAGTAAGTTTATTATTCCACTTTACACTCTTAATATCTGTTATCCCAAATCCTCACCAACACTTGTTTTTGTCACTCTAAATTTTAGATATTCTGTGGTTTTAATTTGTATTTTCTTGCTGACTAGTGTGGTTAAATACCTTTTCATATCCATTTGACCATCTGGACATCTTTTCTTGGAGAAGTGCCTGTTCAAGTCTATTTTCTTTCCTTCTACAGGAGTTCTATATGTATTCTGAACATGAGGTTGTTGTCTCATATGTATATTTTCATCACAGCCATTTTGTCCCCACTCTGTTGCATGCCATTTTACTTTTTAATGGTGTCTTGATGAAGAGGTGCTCTAAATTTTGATGTAGCTCAATTCATCAGTCTTTCCCTGTGTGGCTAGTGCTTTTCTGTGTCCTGGTTAAGAAGTTTTTGCCTACTTAAGGTCACGAAAATGTCTTTATATGATATCTCCTGGAAACTTTATTGTTTAACTTCTTATAGTTAGATACCCAGTCCATCTGGAGTTGATTTTTGGGTAAGGCATAAAGTAGGGAACAGGATTTATTTTTTTCTTTCCATAGATATTTAATTGAACCAGCTCCATTTGTTGAAAACATTTCCCCCAGTGCTCTACAGGTTTACTTTTGTCATAATAAGATGACTGATATGTGTAGGTTTGTTTCTTTTTTTAGTGAGATATAGTTTATATAGCATACAATTCATATGTTTAAGCAATAAAATTCAGTGGTTTATAGTATATTCAGATATTTGTACCCATTGCTTCAAAAAGAAACCTCATATCCTTTGGCCATCACCTCTCTATCCACCCATGTACCTAGCCCTAAGTAACCACTGATACCTGGATTTGCCTGTTACAGAAATTTCATGTAAATGGAATCATGTATGTTTTTCATGACCGGCTTCTTTCACGTACTGTAATGTGTTCAGGGTTCATCCATGTTGTGGAATTTATCACTACTTCATTCCTTTTTATGGTTGAATGAAATTTTCTATTATGTGGATAAGACCACATTTTATTTATGCACTCATCAGTTCATGAAGTTTTGGGTTGTTTCTACCTTTTGGTTATTATAAATATTGCCAATAATAGTTGTGATACAAGTTGTGTGGGCATATGTTTTCATTTGTCTTGCTGTTAGATACTTGGGTGTGAAATTGCTGAGTCATATGTTAACTCTGTGATTAACCATTTGAGGAACTGCCAGACTGTTTTCCAAAGTGGCTACACAATTTGCTATTCCCACTAACAGTGAATGAGGGTTGTGATTTCTCCACATCTTTGCCAACATTTGTTATGACCTGACTTTTTGATTCTAGCCACCTGAGTGAGTGTGCAGTGATATCTCATTGTGGTATCTATTTGTATTCCTGATGGCTGATAATGTCAAGCATCTTTTTCATGTGCTTGTGGGCCATTTGTATATCTACTTTGGAGAAATGTCTGTTTAGATGCTTGGCTCTTGGTTGGGTTGTCTTTTTATTACTTAGTTATAAGGGTTCTTTATATATTCTGGATACAGGTCCCAGATTCAGATATGTGATTTGTAAATATTTTGTCTCATGTTGTGGGTTATCTTATCACTTTCTTGACAGTGTCCTTTTGAAGCACAAAAGTTTTAAAATTTCTATCAAGTCTAATTAATTTTTTCCTTAGTTATTCATGCTTTTGGTGTGTTGCCAAAACTGAGATTATGAAGATTTACTCCCATGTTTTCACAATATTTTTATAGACTTGGCTCTTACATTTGGGTTTTTGAGCCATTTTGAGTTAATTTTTGTCTATGGCATGAAGTAAGGGTCCAACTTCTTTCTTTTGCATGTGGCTATCCAGTTGTCCTAAGTACTATTTGTTGAAAAGACTATTCTTTACTTATTGAATTATCTTAGCATCCTTGTTGAAAATCAGTTGACTATAGACTTGGGTTTATTTCTGGACTCTCTGCTGGTCAATAAGATTACTGTGATAGCAGTACCACACTGTTTTGGTTGCTGTTGCTTTATAGTCAGTTTGGAAAACAGGAAGTATGACTTTCTACCTTTTTTCTTTTTATAAAAAAAAAAGAGTGTATCTTTAATGAGTCTCTAGTGTATCTTTAATGAGTCTCTAATTGGTAGATATTTTAAATTGTTACTAGAGTTTGCTGTCACACACAGTGTGAGAATTACTAATATATACCTTACTACAACTTTTAAAATAGACTTTAATTTTTAGAACAATTTTAGATTCACAGAAAAATCGAGCAAAAAGTAGAGTGCTTTCGTGTGCTACCTCTACCTCCACCAACACCGTTTCTTGTTTCTAACATCCGGTTTTTAGCATTAGTGTGGTACATTTGTTACAATTGATGAACTAATATTGATATGTTATTAACTAAAGTTCATACATAGTTTGCATTAGAATTCACTCTTTGTATTGTATAGTTTCCTCATTCTGAACTTTTCAACTTTGTGTATAGCTCTGTGGGTTTTGACAAGACTATCTTTGCTCCAATGAATTGCCCTTGCTCCACTGTCACAAGATCAGTTGACTGTATTTGTGTGGGTCTATTTCTGGGCCCTCTCTTCTGTTTCAGCGATCTATTTGTCTATTCTTTCACCAATACCATATTGTTTTGAGTCCTGTTTTTATAGTAAATCTTGAAGTTGGTAATGTCAGTCCTCTGACTTTGTTGTTCTTTAATATTGTGCTGGCCATTCTGGGTCTTTTGCTTTTCCATAACTTTAGAATATATGGAAACAAACTTTAGTTTGTCAGTATCTACAAAATAACTTGCAAGGATTTTGATTGGGATTGCATTGAATCTGTAGACGGAGTTGGGAACAATTAGTATCTTGACAGTGTAGTCTTTCTACTTGTGAATGTGGAATATCTATTTATTTGTTTCAATTTTCTTTGATTCCTTTCATTTGGCTTTTGTTTTCCTCATATAGATCTTGCACATATTTTGTTACATTTATACCTAAGTATTTCTCTTTCTCTCTTTTTTTTTGATGCTAATGGTCTTGTGTGTGTGTGTGTGTGTTGTTGTTGTTGTCGTCCACCCCCCTGCCTTTTTTTTTTTTTTTTTTTTGAGACAGAGTCTCACTCTGTTGCCCAGATTGCAATGGCGCAATCTCGGCTCACTGCAGCCTCTGCCTCCTGGGTTCAAGATTCTCCAGCCTCAGCCTCCTGAGTAGCTGAGATTACAGGAGCGCACCACCTTGCCCAGCTCATTGTTGTATTTTTAGTAGAGACGGGGTTTCACCATGTTGGCCAGGCCAGTCTCTAACTCCTGACCTCGTGATCTACCCATCTCGGCCTCCCAAAGTCCTGGGATTACAGGCGTGAGCCACCGTGCCTGGCCTTTTCCCCTTTTTTAAGAGGCAGGATCTAGCTCTGTCGTCCAGACTGGAGTGAAGTGGTGTGATCATAGCTAACTGTAACGTCAAACTCCTGGGTTCAAGAGATCCTCCCATCTCAACCTCCTGAGCAGCTAAGACTACAGGCACATACCACCATGTCTGGCTATTTTTTTTTTTTGTAATTTTTTAAATTTTTGTGGAGATGGGATGTCACTCTGTTGCCCAGATTGGTCTTGAATTCCTGGCCTCAAAGCAATCCTCCCGTCTCTGCCTTTCAAAATGCTAGGATTATAGGCATGAGCCACCATGCTTGGCCTAGTGCTGTGTTTTTAATTTGAAATTCCAATTGTTCAGAGATAGTGTATGGGGAAACAAGTGAATCATAGATTTACCTCGTATCCTGCGACTTTGCTGTAATTATTTCTTTTATTTCCTTTTTTGTTTTATTACACTTAATAATACTTCCAATATGATGGTGAATACAGTGATGAGAGGGTACATCCTTGCCTTGCTCCTGATCTTAGGGAGGAAAGCATCTAGTTTCTCATTATTCAGTATGATGTTAACTATAGATTTTTTTTTGGCACACCGTCTTTATTTGGTAAAGTTGAGAATGTTTCCCTCTATTCCTAATTTGCTGAGAGTTTTTATCATGAATGGATATTGAATTTGTCAAATAATTTTCCTAACTCTATTGATATGGTTTTTCTTCTTTAGCCTGTTGGTGTGATGGGCTACATTAATTGATTCTCAAATATTACACTAGCCTTGCATAGCCGGACTCAGTCCTGTTTGGTCATAGTTTAATAATTCATTTTATATGTTATTAGATTTGATTTGCCAATATTTTTGTTGAGGATTTTTGCATCTGTGTTCATGAGAGATAGTGCTCTGTAAATTTCCTTTCTTGTGATGTCTTTTTCTGATTTTGGGATTATGGTCATGTTGGTCTCATAGAATGATTTAAGAGTTGTTCCCTCTGCTTCTGTTTTCTGGAAGAGACTGTAGAGAATTGGTATTGTTTCCTTCTTAAATGTTTGACATAATTTACCAGTGAGAACATGTAGGCCTGTTGCTTTCTGTTTTGTAAGGTTATTAATTACTCATTTCTTTAATAGATATAGGCCTATTCGATTATCCACTTCTCCTTAGGTGAGCACTGTGAAGGCCACCTAACTTCCATAAGACTAGACTCCTTGGGGTTTTTATTTCTCTAGCTAGTTTTTGTTCAATCTTTAGCAATTAGTCAGTTTCCCTTTAAGTGTTTCTACCAGTTGATAGATCCAACAGCAGTTTCTACTCCCAATAAGCTTTGATTCTCTGTCACCCATCTCTCTAGCTTCCAGGGAGGTGCTTTGTCCTGGGACCTCAGTTCGCTGATGGATCCTGATGGATCTAAGAAGACTTGTTTTGTTCAGCATTTGTTTTTTTTCCTGCTGTGAAGATCGGAGTGATGATTTCCAAGCTCCTTACATGCTATACCAGAAACTGGAAGAAGTCTGCTCTTTTGTTTCCAAGATGATTTTAGCTATTCTGGGTCCCTTAACATTTCATATGAATTTTAGAATCACTTCGTTAAAATCTACAAAGAACCCAGTTTGGACTCAAATAGGGATTCCGTTGAAGCTGTATGTCAGTTTGGGAAGTAT